CTCCTTGGTGCCTTCCTTTGGAAGAAGCCTCCTTGGTGCCTTCCTTTCTGGGGCTTCTCCAGAGCCGCTTGGGGTACACCCAGAACAAGTTAGAGAGAATATAAATCTCACCTGGCTTGGCCCAGAACCTTCCAAAAAAAGCTGGAAAACATTGCTGGGCAAAGGGAAGGCTGCTCTACCTTCCTCCGCCTGCTGCCACTGTGACTCCCCATGGAAGGATATTTCTACTCCTTTCTTCTCAAAAGGTGCCAAACTTCATGCTTATTTAATTATCAGTCAATTATCACATCGGCACCTTTTTTTTTTTTTTAAACACCTCGTTTTTTTACTTTCTGTTCCTGTTTGTGTATTTCCTGTCAGAAATAATCTCATTGAGATACTGATGTAGGCGAGTTGTCGGGGAAGAAAGAAGTCAGTCTCACAGATCTGGGTATCAACCCTGGGGCGTTGTGGTTAGTGGGCACTGCTAAGAGCTGGGACCTGATCTTGTTTCATATCTTAATATCTTAAGAAAGAAGGTATTCTGTTACGGACCAGTTTGTCTAATAAAAGTGTGCTGATTACACCTGAACACTGGAATTGTTGGAGATTTGTTTTCAGTAGACAAATCAATTTAAAGCAAGTTAGACGGATGAGTAACTGGTCCAACAGTGGAAACAAGCATCGTCCCGTAAACTCACCCACTGAGCCTTTAGCGGCGATGGCCACCGTCTCCAGGAGGACCTGGACGATGCCGGCTCTGACCCGCGGTGTGTTCTTGTTGTTGGTGTCCAGGTGATTCAGAACCTGCTGGATGACGTGGTGGGAGTGCTGAGCCTGGACCACAAAGAGACAAAGAAGGATTGAAGACTCGTCATGTTTGGACGGAGCTAAAGTGTGTTTGCCCGCTTTGTCAGCTGAAAGTAAAAGGAACAAACTACTACAACTCAGTTATAGTCATATCATTATGGTCAGTGGACTTCAAAGACGAAATCTCCTTGGAAAGTTGGACATACTGTTGCAATCAGTCTATTGGGGGATTTTGTATGAAACAAAAAACCAACATATTTCTGTTTTGAATATTTGTAATTTATTTTTTTATAAGAGCAAAGCATCCTGGTCTATTTCTTACTCAGGAAACATTGATTTTTGCTTGATAAACCAGACCTCGACATTAAATCCTGACGTGAACGGTTAATGTTTGAGATCAGTGAAACTGTCCCCGGAGCTGCTGAGACCTCGACATGTAAAGACCATCATCGGCAGCTGCTTTTCTGTTCTTTTTAAAATGGTCCAAACGCCGTCGTTTCCTCCTGACAGCAGAACGTTCGACTGCGTCTCTGCGGGACAAACCCACGGTGCGCTTGTTTTTTGTCACTCAGATCAAACAGAATCTCCCGGCAGACTCCCCCCAGACAGATCAGAGAGACCAAACTCTGCTCATGTCACACACACTCACACGGTGGACACACAAGAATAAACCGACGAGACACATGCACACGGAAAGAGAGACACCTGGACCCCAGAACCATTGATTGTGTTTCATCTGTGGCAGCATCTCAGAGTCACCGAGGCACCGATTAAACAAACAGAGAGAGAGCGAGATGGAGGTCTGGGCTTTCAGGGAGTGAGACAGAGTAAAGGAAATAAACTGTTATTCAGTGCAGTAATAAATGTTCTAGCAGTAAACATACAGCAGCTGCTGCTCT